GGGACCAGTTGGGATAATTGGCAAGGGGGACCAGTCGAGAGGATCCCGAAATATCAGATCAATTTAAAACAGTTGTTGTTGATGCAATTAAGTAAGAGATAATCACAAAAAAAAAATTTTTTTTCTTATCATTATATTGAATATTTCAAAGATCATTATGTCAAACATTTCCACGTAAACATACTGTATTAATGACATTTCTTTCAAATATGTTACGTGAAGAAGGTGATTATGAATATAAAAAGGCAATTGTTAATACAATTATTTCAATTGTTGAAGAAAATCCTGAAGCAAAAGAAGCAGGTAAAAACTAAATAATCGGATTTTAATTTTTTTTGTATATGGATTTTATTTAAAAAGTTTGGCTCATTTATGTGAATTTATCGAAGATTGTGAACATACATCATTAGCTACTCGTATTATTCATTTATTGGGTCGTGAAGAATCACGTACAACAACACCAGCAAAATATATTCGTTATATTTATAATCGTGTTATTCTTGAAAATGCACCTGTTCGAGCTGGTAACACTTTTCTTTTTTTTTTTTTATATTTATTTATTTCTAATTAATTAATGTTGTAGCTGCTGTAAGTGCATTAGCTAAATTTGGTGCAGCTTCAGAAGATTTATTACCAAATATTTTGGTACTTTTACAACGAACAACACTCGATCAAGATGATGAAGTTCGTGATCATGCTATAAAGCCCTTAATTCAGCTTATATTCTCAATTGTAAGTATAACTAATTAAATTAAATTAAATATTTTAATATAGCAATGAATGTATCATTATCATCACTTGAACGTCTTTTGCATCGTTATACAATTGAACCAACAACAAAACCATTTGATGCTCGATCTGTACCTGTTGAAGCAGTTCCGATTGAACAACCTAAAGGTTTGATATTCAAATTTGATTTTATTATTTAAATAAAATTGTTTTTTTTTATAATAGATATTAGTATTGGTGTTGGTCTTCCACGCCCAGGAATTGAATCGAAAACAAATCGAGAAGATACTTATGGTGGTAAGTTTCAAAAAAAAAAATTTCCGTCGTCAAATTCATTTTTCTATTTCTTAGAACAAGTATCTGCTATACCAGAATTTGCTCATTTGGGTCCAATATTCAAATCATCATTACCAGTTGATTTAACTGAAAGTGAAGTTGAATATGTTGTACGATGTATAAAACATATTTTTAGTCATTATATTGTTTTTCAAGTAAATATTCTACTGATTCCTCTTTTTTTTTTATTGAATTTGTGCTTTGTATTTTTATTAATTTCGATTATTTATTTGTCATAGCGTTTTGTCTTTTGTTTTTAGTTTGAAGATATTGAAATAACAGTTAGTGATCATGTACAAAAAGTACTTAAACCAAATTGGTCTGCTTCATGGGAAGAAAATGGAGCTGAAAATGAACGTGAAGATACATATACATTATCAATTCCAACACTTGAAGGTATTATAAAATTATTATATTTTATTTTTCATTTCATCTTATGTTTATTATAGAATGTGGGAAGAAAATAATAAATTATATGGAAATGCAAGCTTGTGAACGATCAGACAAAATTCCAGAAGGCAAAGCATCACATGCACTTTATTTAGCGGGTGTCTATCGTGGTGAACATGATGTACTTGTTCGAGCAAAAATGGCATTGGGTGGTACAACAGTAGATCCAGGAGCACAAGCTATTACCATGCAATTAACAATACGTTCGACAGATGGATCAGCTGTGCAAGTTATTGCTTCAGCAGTCGAATAAATAAATAAATAAATAACAAAAACATTGATACATTTTATTAGCATACTTTTCTTTTTTGTTGTGTGGGACTTTTTATCGATGTGCGAGTGTTATAAACTTATCATTCTCTTAGTCTAAATAATATACACAGAAACATACTTTTTTCATCGATTATTATTCCATCATAGTGCCTAATTTAAAAAAAAATCAATTATTTTGACAAAGATTCGAAGCAAGCATTGACCAAGGCTAATAGAGCATATAACTTTTTTTTTTCTTACTAATTTAACTTTCTATCCATCACTCAGTAACATAAAGATAATGTTCTATTGGACATAGTGTTCGTTGTTTTTCGTGTCAATATCTAAACTTAAATGATAGATGACTTTCTCTTGCATAAAAAATACAAACATTGTGCTTTTTTAAAAAGCTGTTTCAATCAACCAATCCAAGTTGAAAGAAATTGAAAAGTATGTATGACGATTAGTATTACTACAAAACTGTTGTCAATACTATTTAGCAAGTTTCTGAAGAATATTGTGAACTGATCTTTCATCGGTTGTCGTTACAAGTGTAACCCATAAAACTGCTTGCATAAAAAGATTAGCATCAATTCTTCTTGGCTATTTTCGATTTAATCAATTCGAAAAACAAACCTTGCAAAATTTTGTCTTTCGATGGGGCTAATAGTAAATAAATGAGATCTTCTGTATAGAAGCGAATTGCAAGACTTTATTTTCGCTTTCGAAAGAGATTTTGATTATCCGTTCTTAAGTTCATCCCGTCACAAAGTACGGACTTTTACTTCGCACTTATAGAAACATCGATCTTCATAAATGCTATGCTTCGCATTGCATTAAATAGACTGCAACAGACATACGACATCTATTCAGACGCATAACTCGACATATTGATAGTATCATACGAAAAAGTTATTGATCGCGTTCCATAAAAAAAAACTGCGTAAAGCATTATATGTGATATGATAATGGACGAAAGCAAGGATCAAACCAGTTGGGAACATGATGCGTGAATAATCTATATGAATACTACAAACGAAAAACGGCTGCATTTCTGCGATTGCTTGCTCGCATAAAGTTCCATTGATCAGATAAAAACTATGATCTAATCGTTGATAAGGTAGTATGACGTGAAAAATTATAACCGCGACGAACTAACTGATTATTTCGTTTGTTATGGGTCCGAGAAAAAAAAAGGACGTCACTAGAAAAGAAAATAATATTGACCGAATTAACCGCGAGCACGAAATGATACGCATCAATTGATTGCATATGCGCAATATTTACATGTGATTCGTAGATTCGTTTTATTGTTTCTGTTTTTCATTAATCAAGGACTGATTTAACGTTTAAAGAGAAATACAGATGATATTTCAATTCTTAATAATCTCCCATTCTTTTGTTCATGGTTTCTTCATATAAAGCTAAACTATGAGAATACAATGACTACTTGTATAATGAATTAGTATGATAGAAAAGCGGCCTTTGATTAAATGACGAAACTTTATTTACTATAAAATCCTAAGAAAGATAAGAAAAAACAAAGATTCTTTTTATATTTCTGTTCGATGATTAGTTACTTTATATAAAAGAGTGACGAAAAAAAGTTAAGAATGATAAGATCAACTTAATAATCTTGCTGATAATTCAATATCTCTTCAGTAGGCGTAAATAATATCGATAAACGAAACATTTTTAAACGTTATAGATTGATCTTATGAAGTACAAGATGTTTGATATGTTGAAAACATCATCGAATTAGATAAAACATTTCAATTCAATTGTTTTACTATCAACAAATCAAGTATTACCATATTCGTTTAGTTTTAAACAAGGAAGTGCAGATAAAACAGTTTCACATTATATTTAGACAATAAGAATAGACAAAGAACAAGAAAAAAAGAACTTATAGAAAAAAAAAAGGAAGAAAATAAATATTTATTGCAAAGATTAAGGCCGATTCGTTTTTGTGCATTTCACTGTTTGTTCAACTTGACACACCGAGAAGCACAATAAAAATAGTTCAGACTATATGTATATACACAAATATTTTAAACACCAGCAAGTCCTTTGAGTAATGCCGGTTCCAAATGAGCGAAATCAAAATCTTTAACAG